TTTTTTTAAATATGAATGGACATACAATACCAAAACAATAATAAACTGAACCTTTTTCTTTATGGACAGTTTAGAGCTTCCTTCCTTAAATTAGGAGTTCACTAGCATTTAAAACATTGCTTTCAGGCTTCAGCAATACCTTTAACATTCAGTTTCTTTTTCTCTGTGCTATCTAAAACTAAGTTTTGAATTCTCTTTTCATAGCAAATTTGTTAGCAGGTCAAATAGACTAATCAGTGAACCACACAGCATCTGACTTTAAGTGATGGAAGTTCAGTTGATGTTGCTTTCAGAGCTGCTTTGTATGTATCGGTCACCTTTGCCTACATGAATTAAATGAGTATTGGATGTAATTTAATCAGATGAGTAGTTAATACAGTGAAAAAAAGATGTATTATTCTTTCATTGCTTTTATTACAAATTGATGAAAGCGCTGGGCACTCAATTTTCCTTAAAGTATTTTTAAACTTTTTTTTTAACCAAGATCAATATTTCCTGCTAATGGCTGGAGGGCTTGATTTGTTTTTCTTCATAGTTTTCTTCAAGCATAAGGTTTGATTCAACTGGCCTAAAACAAAGTGAAGTTTAATTGTGCATTTCACCCAGGAAACTATTTGTTCAGCAGCTAGAACAATGATAGAATGGGAAGTAGGAAAAGTGTTGGCATTACTTTGCAAATAAAGTACTGAGATCATTATATTCAAGTAAATGTCTGCTTAAGTAGCATCTTGCGGAATTCAACCTATAAAATGTCTTTGCTCAGAAAGTATCGTTATCTTTCTTCCAGACCCTACAATTATACCTTAAGTGACCTTATTTTGGGATTTGCAAGTCATGACTCACATTCTCAAATGTATTTTTCACTAGTGGATAAAAATGTATTTCTCCAAAGAGAAATGCTTTCTTTAGGACAGTGGTTCTCAAACTGTTTGGACCAAGTACCACCCCTGATCAAACCAAAGCATCCAAGTACCACCTACAAGACATCTTCTCATAGGACCCCCAGAAATTCTCAATGACTAACATGAGCGTGCGTGCACAAAGGGTATATTGGAGTCTGCTGAGAGTAACCACCATAAGATATGCTTTCCTTAAGTTTTCTGGACGTTCTCATTTTGTCTGAATATAAGGTACTGGATCTGTTTTTATACTGTTAGTGGTTGTTAATGTAAGCTTAGACAAGAAGCTTCAATGCAGAAAAATGCTGCTTCAGGTGGCTGTTCCCACATCACTGAACAGTGTGTTTATATAGTTTGAGATCATGTGAATTAGAGAATTTTATTTAAACACAGGGCCTTGTAGACGAAGGCACTTTTTACAGTTAAAAGTAAATATATATATATTCGGTAGGAACATGTAATGGGTTTATTCTATGCTGAAAGGAAAAGAGAGAAAGCACAACATTTCGTCTTTGAAGCCTTCTTCAGGTGTGAGGCTATATATATTTTCAATCTTGGTAAATTCTTACTCTTAGTACAATTTAAAGTGTGATTTAATAAAAAAAATTAATTTTATTTATTGCTAAAAATGTAGGTTTTTTTAGTGTTCTAAAAGGCTCAACCTTATTTTAAACAGATATTCTGTACATCTTTTCTAGGAAAATATTTGATACTTATTTGCCGTTTCAATACTTATTTGATCTTATTAGACAGTCACATGTACATTACAAGAGGAACTAAAGTAACTGTGCAAGACGGGTCTCAATCAGCTGCATAAAACATAGCTGTCAGCTATTGAATCAAAAATGAAAATGAATGGTAAAACCAGTAGTAAACATACTGTACATTAGAATTTCATTCAAAATACATTGTTATATGAAACCATAGTAGTTTCACACACAAAAAAAATTGTAATAATGCCTAGTGAATAAAAAACTTGCCAAATATATTTATCTCATGCATTAAACTGTTTGCATTTGTACTTTTATGACCCCAAACAACTTGTACTACATTTAATGCTCAAATTGCTTCAGGAAATGGCATGTTGCCTTATTAGGTTATTGTACATACAAAAGTCTTCTGTACATTCCTGCATTAGAGCTAAAGGGTAAATCAAATTGGGAAAAGATGGAGCTTGTGAATTATTAATGGCTTAAAGGCTTTATCTTCCTGGAGATGGATCTCTTCAATTATGCATACATGTATCTCTGAGCAATGCACCTAGTAACAACAACGCATTAATCAATATCCACTGGATGAATGCAGTGAAAAAATAACTTCAGTAAAAATTAACTCTGGAGGGTCCTTATGTATGGAGTCTAGAAAAAAACTGTATAAAATCACAAATCTATCAGGAGAACATATTTTTTGTGGCAGGTGCACTGACCTTGATTTGAACAGTTATTACATAGGGAAATGTAATTCATTTTATTAACATTTTCAATAGGTTCACTTGGCTCAAAGTCACGGGCTAGTAGCATGGGTGGTCATTGTTACAAGCACATGGTTTGCACCAGATTTTAGATGCTGTCTAATGGGATTCTGTTCCATTCCTCTGACATTGTTTGGACCATTTATGTGTTTGTTTACTGGTCACTGATATCTCCATGCCACATGTTGTTGCAGATCAACCCACAAATGACCAATGGGGCTCAAGTCCGGAGAGTTGAGTCACCCCTGGCATAGCTATCATATTGTCATCTGGCAAGAAAGCCATTGTTCCAAAGGCAGCTTGAGGATGTGAGCCCTTCTAGAATGTTGATGTGGCAGGTTGAGCCTGCAGCAAGGGCAGCAGATGAGGTCCCAGGTCTCCATTTAAGTAGTTCCACAGAGCGAGGTTATCGTCAACAACTACAAATGGAGTTCTTTAGCAACTCTTGTCCAGACGATCGCATGTAGATCTCCTCCTTGATGTCCGTGAGGTTTTGTGACTTCTTGTCTCCCAGATCATTTACAGAATGTCTGGCTGTATGTCAGGATCTAAAGTACAGATTGTGAAGCAGACAGCGAGCAGAAGTGTGTCCAGTCTTTAACCTGCTTATAGCATAGCTTTCACCAGGTTTGACATTCAACAAATTAAATCACCTAAATTAGAACGCCTCCCAAATGTTCAATCAGCTCTTTCACTAATAAGGTGCTTCACTGCTTACGCAACAGTATGTCACGGTCATTCATAAATAATCAAAATGATGCAAGTAACGTAATCATTATATATTTCATTTTTCTAGCACCATTCGTGCATCGACTGATGTTTCTTTTGCTGCTGAGTAATACTAATAGTGCCCAACAAACCATTGATCGGTTTAAAAGAAATGCTTATCTCTAATGAGTCATATGATGGTGATCAGCACAGAATGTCTTTCTTCAGAAGGAAATCATTAATAGAACATTAGATCTTTGACTAGTTTCTCATTGCTTAAGGAACTGTGACAGGAGCATAGAGTATATATTAAATCAGTATGTGTAGTATGTGTGGAGTAAACTGTTGTTGGCACAATATGAAAGAATAATATATACTGTATATATGGATGTTGAAAGGTAATAAAGCATCTATTACAATACAGAACACTCAATGGAATGAAAATCATCTGGCTAAAGCAAAGCCTTACAGCATGAATCCTATGTACGAATTGTACATCATTAACATTTGTTTTTGTACATTGGAATTAATATTTAATCTAAATATAAATACTACTAACTGAAGAGCTGACAAAGTTTCCTACTGGTTTCTTTGGAGCAATAATTTGAAGCTCAAACATTTAGCAATTTAATAGAGATATTTTAGTAATGTATTTAAAACACTGAGGAGAGATCTCTCATAATCAGTTTCAGAATTAATCATCGCGTCATTGAATTATATTTTTGTTTCTATAGTTAAAGCCTGTAAAGGAAAATATGTAATTGTAAGTAAAAGGTTTTGTATTTAGTATGGACGTGGGCATGGTCTTTCTGTACCTTAACACTGCTTTCAGCTTCCTGAGTTTACTTGTATCTTATTGTGTAACTGAGCCAGCATATCTTAAAATCTAAAATATTACCAATCTGGTAATTATGAGACCTCTGTATCATTGAGCTTTCCCTGAAATGCCAATGTATCTTATTTTATATTCTGGATATTAAAAAATCCTGCTTTTCTCAGAATTAAGTACACAGCAGCTTACATCATCTACCATTTCCTTTTATTTCATTTCATGTCCTCTTGGGAGTGTTATGTACTTTTGTCAGAATATGAAGCAGATGAGAGAATCAATGTCACATACTTACGTCTGTGCTTGATGTACCAATCAGCTCAAATCAAAGTTATTTTTTCCTATTCTCCTTTTATGAGATGTCTAAAGAAACTTACTCCTAGGTTACATGGTTAAACTAGAGAATAATTATCTAAGCAGAATTATCAACATTAGCATGCAAAAGATATACCAAGAGGCTCTGAAGATGCAACAGATTAGTAATTGAACCAATACCTATATATTCAGCATAATCTCAATATGAATGTGCAATAGTATGTGTGACAAGTAACACATTCTAAAACTACTGTAAATGTAAATTATTCCTTAATTTCTTTAAAGAAACATACTGAAGTTATATCACTTTGAGCAAGTTTGCAATAAACAATGGGCAAAATTGGACCATCCTGAAGAGCAAAGCTGGTAGAGATTTATCCAAAAAGACCCACAGCTGTAATTGCTGCTACAGGTGTTTCCACCAAGTATTGAACCAAAGTGGAATACTAATGCAATCAATTTATATTAATTTTCTTTGCATTTGACTTCGACATTAGATGTCTTTTACCCATGAACGTGTTAAGCTTAAGTATTTGCTCTTTAATTTAAAATAATGTAAAACGTGTGTAC